CTCGGCACTTTGAAGTGAAAGTTGCGGGTCCTTCGGAGGAGACCTTAAAAACCGAGGCCCCGTGTCACGGCATGCATTGGCACGATAGAGATCCCTCACTGCTCAATGGCCCTGAGTGCCAAGTAAAGGTCAAAGTTTGAAGCCCTTCACCGGTATATGGTGACGTCTCTAAAAAATCTCGAATAGGACGTTAAACAACATACAATCAATCAATCAGAAGGGCTTTACTTACTCAGGTGAGCCTTATGGCCCATAAACCCCTTGTTTGGAATTACAATATATATCATAATTTCCCTGTATATCTCTCCACATCCTGTTAATATTTTAGGGATATATATCAATAGGAATAAGGAAATTTAGGTCTTCAGATCACCATTGAAATTGGACCCGACAAGATCTCCCTATCGAGGTGAGAAACATCGGGTTTGAGTGGTGTTTCTCGGCCGCTTACTTCGTTACAATGTTTGTATCCAGCTTTACATACAGCTAACCCAGGGGCCCGGGTTGGCCTTTTATCGAAGAGGAACCCGGGCCGTACTGTTCTACATCTTTTGGCGACACATTCACCAACACCTACACAGGGACATGGGAGACACGCGGCAACACGGGCCTGAAAGACGGACCTCTCTCTAAGCGGCCGCGCATTCACACCGGTCTCGGTGTGCTAGCAGTGGGGAGAGTGAAGTCTGGATGGCCCCCCCAATTGTACAAGTTTTGTGGTAAAGTAAAAAAAGATTTACCACAACATTGTCACATTTGGGGGTCTCTTTCTTCAGGGTTATAAGGTAGAGTACAATATATATAAATATATTTATTTTCGATTGTGTATGTCCGAGACAAAACTACAAATAAGGTATACATGTGTAATAGCTTTATCGCCTCGTAAAGCTATTTGCTCAGACGTCATGAAACTGCATGCATGCTTTCTGACTGTGTTGATTAATAAGATTGGGCGGGGATGCTGAGATTTATTATTATTGAATTAAAAAAAAATATTGAATCTAGTATCTATACAGTAAAAATTTAACATAAGGAAAAACTAATTTTGGTTTCATTCAGTTTGTTCCGCGTGTTAATTTTATGTCTATTTCCTTTGGATTTTTCAAAACCATTTTCACTATACACTGGATACATGTATGAAGTCTGTTGGTTATAAAATGTGTAAGTTATTGTATCACAATAGTAATATTCCGAGCTTTGACCTTCAACCTTTGTAGGTGTCTATCTCTAACCATTCTTCACATGTATAGTAAGCTTAAGTCTGTAAGATAACTAGACATCATTGAGATGGTGCCCATCTCCAAGTGCCCCGCTTTTAACAACGATGAAAGGGACTTGTAAAAGACTGAAACTGGAGTTTGACCTTAACTTTTTCCTCTATTCATGGGACTCTTTTGGTGAGGTATTAGCCAGATGGGGCCAAGGGATGAGAAAATATGCTCCATATATACACAATGATATTACACAGATCTGCTACACCCTCTGATCTAGAAAAATGTTTTAAGGTCACTACTTATTATTTTACCCCAAAGCAATCTATGCATGGGTGAAGTATGATTCTTTCAGAAACGATGCCATTTGACAAACCCTGCGAATACTAGTACAATAGAACTATTCGTGACGAAGAGAGTACCCCAAGTCCTCATATATCAGGACGAGGAAAAAACTTTTCTATATGCTTTGGAATTCTAAATACTACGGACGGAAAACGTGACTTCCCCTAGTATTAATATCCTGCAAATGACAAATATGTTACCTTGTATAAATCAGAATAGCAATACAAGGATGAAAATAATGCGCTTCCTGGGATCAGACATAAATAACTTGCTATTTACGTCTCTGTGTTTGGGGCTAATTTTAGGCTTTTTAAAATGAAATCAACATAAACCAACATGAGCTATAGGCTATCTGGACTGTAGGTGAAAATTGTGAAAGGATACATAACATATTCAAGTTGACTATTTGAACATTTCTGACGCCTGAAAAAAAAGTTTGTGCTACTTATATCTTTACCCGGTAAACCTTTCTGGAGCAGAAACTCGAGGTACATTAATATGTACATGTATAAATACCTGAACAAGTGATAAGAAATAATAATTTAATGGACTCTATTATTAGTGTACCCTCTCAAAAAAGTCTGGAACTACATTATGCATAGTCATATTTGCAAGCTTTGACCCTGCCTATTGAAATGCAATTTACTGTAACATCTCTAAAAGTTCTCCAAAATGTGAAATTAAAGACGCAAAGATCCCGATTTGTGATGCATTAAAAATCTAAACGATAAATACAAAAATCATGGTTTGAATGTCCTTGGCAAGTCACGTGAACACAATTTCGATTATTGTTCAGCCATAAAATTCCAAAAAAGCAAGAGCGACTTAACTTTAGATTACAATACACGTGTATACCTTTCCCCAAAATGCATCAACTGACCAAGTTTGACATAGGCCTTTGCATCACAGTGTATGACACAATCAGGTCACAATTTGATTTTGTATAGCCATACAATTCCAAAATCAAGCAACAGTGTCCCATTTGTGGGTTACAGTACAAACCCGATTCATCGATTGACATTTGATAATCCTAGAAGTCCTTTAATGCAAAGCTAATCTAGAAGTATGTCCATAGGACATGAATGCCCCGCCCAAGGAATATTAGTCATGGCCGTAGGAACCAGGGGGCACGGGGGGGGGGGGGCAATTAATTTTGCGGATATATAGAATACTATAGAAAACATAGCTTCTATATGCTTGTGTCCCCTCAATTACAACGTCTAATGACCCTTTTTTTTTTTTTTTTTTGCTTGTCAAGGAATTTTGGTGGTGGATAGTGCCCCCCAAATGAAAATGTATGGTTGTGCCCCCTCAAAGTGAAATTGCTTCCTACGGGCCTGTTAGTAATGCAGCATGAAAAGTTGTATTAGTGTATGAAGTTTGATCAAAATATCTTGAAGAGTTTCTATAAAATTGAAACTGAAATCTAAATCAAAAGCCTGAAAGGCTTCAATGACGTCGAAGAAGAAAAACAATTTCAAAAGATCATTTTGAATTTGAAGATAGCAATAAGTCAAGTGAGTGACCCAGGAGACATAATAAAAAAATAGTTTTAAACAAAATATCACAATTACAGTCTGGGGCCTTATGTCATGGTCCGAATGGAGCAGGGTTCGAATTGACCAGACACCGTCGAACATGTTCATGCTAAATTCTTTTCAGTCAGCTGAAGAACTATGAAGGATTTCATGAATTTATATAATATTTTTTCTAATTGCCAATGTCAAAGCGTTGTATTAGTGATTGCATCTAAACTACAACCAAGACTCTGTTCTGTTACAATTACGATCGAGTTACGATCGGGCGTGGTATACGGTATACTGGGAAATGGAGGAAATGGAGAAATACAGTAATACTGGTCAATATCATCGGCTTTTAGGATAGAGTTGGTTAGAAGATTTTATAAGTAAAGCTAAGATTTAGAAATTTAATCTTTTTAGTCTTGTAGTATTCGTGTTTATGTAATTTTGTAATAATTTTACCTCCTGTTGTGTTATGTTACACGGTTATCGTTCCGAAATGTTATTCATGTCATTCAACGCACCCTTTCTGTAGAAATTCATCCGCAACAACCATCACATTTTTCTTGTGTGAGAATAAAACATGATATTGTTGTTTTGCAATAGAATTAATTGCAGATATAGTTGATGCAATTTTATTTTCAAACTATTATTCATTTTGAGCGTTTTCAAAGAAATTGGTTTATAGCTATTGCTATTTTCTATTGCGGATGCATCGACTGACACATTCGGTCGCGTACATATCCGGTCGCGATTTCAACTGGGCGCTTGCTAGATGACGTTCGAGCTCCAAGAGCTCGACGTCATAAAAATGGATATAGATGATAAATTCTCAAAAAATTACATAAAAGTGCATAAGCTTACATAAAAATATGCAATATAAATGTATTCTTTTAAACTGATCAAAATGCAAATTTAGGAAAAGTGAGGTCAAGGCCACAGGAAGGTTCAAGGTAAAAAGTTTTTGATGCAGTAAAAAGTTTTTGATAGCTCTCACAAATATGTATCTGCATATTAAGGACTCAAATACCATGGTTACTGTAAATCACTTTTTATTCTCGAGCAATTTATTTACACGTAATTACGCAAGACTGTCTGCTCGCAAAAATTTAATTCTCGCGTATAATTCTAGTACAAAGAACTGAAGAATATATATAGAACAATATCCGAAGTTCGTGAAAATTATGTCTCGCTTATAAATACAAAAGGCCGTCTAGCAAAGAATATAGTGAAAATTTGGTGGTCTTCAGTATGTGGAAGTGATTTCCAAGTTCCAACCACTTATACATGTACCTCAAGTTTTTTTACCCTCGATATCTCAAATCCTCACATATCTCTATTCTTGAAGTATTTTCTTGGTCTCATCAAGTTCAAGATATGAAGGTTTGACTGTATATAATTTACTACTACGTATGTGCCTCTGACGACGATGATTGACTGATTGATTGAATATTGTTTTACGTCCCATTCAAGAATTTTTCACTCATATAGAGAAGTCACCATATACCGGTGAAGGGCTTCAAATTTTGACCTTTACTCGGCACTCAGGGCCATTGAGCAGTGAGGGATCTTTATCGTGCAAACGTCTGCCATGACACGGGGCCTCGGTTTTTAAGGTCTCATCCGAAGGACCCGCAACTTTCACTTCAAAGTGCCGAGTGCAGGGCGAAGGAACAGTTGCTACCCATTTTTTATCGACTTAGGTCAGTCACGGCCGAGATTCGAACTCACGACCTCCTGATCACGGAGCGAGCGCTCTACTGACTGAGCTACCGTGAACGGTCAACGATGATTGAAGACAACTCCATAAAGTTAAAATATTGTGAGCAATGATATGTTATTTAGCTTCACAGAAAAGAAAAGGTACTACTCATGGCTTAAATATTGTGCCCTCACAACTTCATGAAATAAGAACATACACAACTATTCAGCCATAATTTATTTTCAGTGTTTTTATCCCATTTTTTGGGCAAGTTCACGAGCTTTTGCTTTTTCCAGTTTGTTAATGCGTGCTTGAGATTTAGATCCCATCTGACCACCTCCCCAGTGACGACGAATCTGAAAAAACAAAAAAATATTGGATGAAAAAAAAACAGCACTGAATCCAGTTCTTGATGTTTTTTGTAAATTGTTAGAAGCCTGAAGTCATCAGATTGTAAATAAGCCTCTTCATTGGAAGATCAGCTTCGGGAAAAGTTTACATCATCATGAAATTTAACTTCAGTATTCTACGACACAGTCAAACACAAAACTTTGTAATGAAACATAACTGAAAAGAACTTAAAAGGGGGATCAATAAGAAAGGGCACCTGCTAGCCTTTACATTTGGATAATATATGATGGAAAATTCCCACTTCATATTTTTAAGGCATTTTCAATCACTGAATACGACAACTATGAAATTTTCTCATATTTCAATGACATTGCCACTTCAAGAAGCACTTGGGACTTGACTTATCCTAGGTTAAAACTTTTATAATGCTTAGACACTCTTACAGCTCTACAAAATATGTTAGATGTGGGCATCTAAAGCATGACTGAGTAGGAAATGCTTCAGATGCATCCTCTATACAAATTTGAACCAGGTTAGCTCAATACTTGGGAAATGAACCTTCCCCAAACTTTTATCCTCAGACAGAGAATTTAGCATAAAGCTCATCTTGATTTTTGATTTCATGAAGGTGAGCTATAAATTTGGTCTAAGTCTGCAGGTTGGGGCACTGCTGAACATGAATATTCTTCATATTTGCATGGTCCTCATGAATATTCCCAATTCAGGTCATATTTGTGAGACATTTCTGGAGCCTGACACTAAAGTAAGAAAATCATTCTATCCAATTCTACACAGATATATTTATTGGAGACACTCAGAGTTAAAAAGCTCATAAAATTAATCAACACAAGTCTTCAGGCGAAGAAATTCAAACATCATTGTGTCTCAGATGAAAAACTGCAAGAATAAACTTATATTCTGTCTAGTAAACATAAATAAGCTTACCTCATCGAATCTGTCATTAAAGTTAGTCTTGACAGCTTCAGAAAGTTTATTCAGGGCATTTTTATCTTCTCTGAAATATTAATGACAAAGTTCAGTACTTGTGTTTACGAACCTGGACATGCATGAAAGGTCAAGTGGGAAACCATTTTTATTGTTTATTTAGAAACTTTCAAGAAATTTCCTCAGTCTGCTTATGATAAAACCTTGACAAACAGAATTTCATCTGACATTTTTCAGACATTATTTACGTAAGATGTGAATTTTACTCAAGATTTCTTTGCAAGAAATTTTCAAGTTCGTACATGAACTTTCACCAATAAGGAGTCATATGGTACAAAGACTTAAGCTAACTTAGGGGATAAAGCAGTTTTTTTCTGTGGTACTTCAATGAAATAAACGAATAGTTGGAATATACAGAATGCACTTTGAAATATGATTGGGTTAAAAGTGTCAGGTCATATATCATACCCTCTAAACTCAAATACAATTCTTAATTGTACTAATAAGTAGTACAAAAAAACCAATGCTACACATCTACTCCAATTACCTTAAATATGAAACAATCCCCTTCCTTTAAATTCCTATATTATTTGCAATGTGAGTGGAGATCACAACCTATCTGTCCCACACATAATTACAGTTAAACTTCAGTATCTCGAACACGGATATCTCGAATACCATGGATATGTTGAAGTGATTTGTAAATCCCAAGCACTTAATATTTTAATTATTTTACTCCCAATATCTCGAACCCTCGGATATCTCAAAGTTTATTCTAAGTCCTATTGAGTTCGAGATAAGGAGGTTTGACTGTACTTATAAATGCTTCATTTGACATAGTGTGACCTCACCAGTGGTAAAAACAATTCATTTTTGAGCAAGCAACTTCAATTTCTGACAAGGAGTCATATGCACATTGTAGTTAATATGAAGTCTTTGAAAGGGCATTCGTGTAAATCACATAAAAATTCCTCCAGATGGACATGAAGACAATTATATGGACAGGCATTTTGCTAAGGGCCCACTGAAACTAATATTATATTGCAAATTCCTTAATTGAATGCTTACAATATTATGAGCAAGATCATCTGCAGAGATGTTTACCCTATTCTTGTCAGTAATTTGTAATGTTTCTGTATGTAATATGACCTTTTATTCGTAATTTTGTGTTAGCAATACCTTGCCTGAATTTGATGACTTTCAGATAAGAATAATTTTGAAATAATATCCTTTTGTCAGCTTGTAATATGCATTTAATGATCATCCAAATATAAATAGCTGTAATTAAGGTCTTTTTTTTAAAAGTGTATCCCTATCATTGATAAAGTATTAATACTACATAAATAATTAAGAAATTTTGAGCATAGCCCATAACCTTTATTTTCAAAGGCCAATCCATAATTTTATTTTGAAACAAAAATCTGTGATAAATACAGAATTTCCATAATGGTAAACAGCTCTGCATCTGACCAAAGATTCTACTGTCATATTAATTTTACTTCACTTACGAATTAACATTTGTGAAGGCCAGACAAGTAGCTGTTTTTCTGTGTACAACACGTCCTAATCTTGCCTTTCCTTTTACAATGCAGTAAGGTACCCCCATCTTTCTACACAAGGCTGGTAAGAATATAACAATCTACAACAAAAGCATGATACATCACCATTATCAAATGCTTACATTTTAATAATAAAACTGCTAAATTAAGAACAAAGGTTCACTTGAGGCCTTTTTTGGCCCTCTGAATTTCTGAAAAAGTGAAACTGCTTAGTTTTAGTTAACAATGCATTAAATATCATTTAGACCCTTGGTGACTATGTATCTATAAACAAAATGATGTAATTTTCTGGCTAGCTAATATATTATGACGTCATGAATTGTGTCATTTTTACCATATCCTGAAAAATTCTACATAAACGGTCAATCTTTTTTTAAGCTATTTCTCAATATTTCATATAGAGCTCAACCTTTGATCGATCCATAATATGCAATTATTTAAGGATAGAACTGTTTCTGAAGATTACAAAACGTTTTATCTTCTGGATCGAGGAGTGCGCTCACATTTTTAGTATGTGTATTTAAGAGATCATTCATAAGTTCTAAAGCACATTGTCAAAACTACTGCTACAAAATCTACTCACTTCAATTGGGTCAACATCATGTGCAATGACAACCAGCTGAGCTTTCTTTTGCTCCACGAGGGCGGTCACTGTATTAACCCCTGACCTCATGACTGGGGGTCGTTTAGTAGGCTTGTCCTCCTTTCCTGCTGCCCTGTCCTCAGCTCTAGCCTTCAGACGAGCCTTCTTCTGTTGTTTAGACTCAGGCCTGTATTTATCCATAAGCCGGAACAGCTGGGTAGCTACAATGTTGAAGTATATTGTTCAATTACTCCAAATATCAAAAAGGTTCATTCAAAATTCATTTTTGGTGATCCAAGTTCAGAGATCAAATGTGTAGATTTGTTTTAAAAATCATGGAATTCTCAGTGGATTTTTTTAACATCATCACTTGGATTTCACTTGGGTGCAATTTTTATACATAAAAAATTCATTACAATGCAAAGTTCAAAACTTCCAGGAAAAGATTCTCAAAACAAAAAATCTTACTAAATTTACAAATAATACTTCAGACAAATTCAATGGATATTGAAACAACAGTATATTTAATATGCTATTTAGCATCCAAATTTTAATGTTACACAATCAATTTTCCACCCCTGTATATCCCCTAAACAACAATATATATGTTAAGATACTTAAAATATTACATTATAAATTTCCTCTCCTCTTGTGCAGTATAGCTTTAGGAAGTATGCTATATGAAGGAACTTGTTCTTCTTTCAATATGCATATTTTAAATAAGTATAAAAGCACTGCAAAGCAGAGCATCCTCTCGTGACAGGACATATATTTTTGGATATGAATATGAGGTATTTCAGGACCACTGCAAAATGAGGGAATTAATATGAAGACAACTGTTCACTGATGCTCACTAAAGCTTGTGATTGCTGGCACTTGACACTTTCGTTTTCAACAATTACATATTGTTAACTCTTTCATTTAATGTTGTATACTGTTAATTCAACCATTACTAAAATTTCAGCTCTGCTATTAATTAAATCATTTTTTTAAAAATACTTTTACAGTAACCTTGAAATTTAATGGGGTTTGACCTATTTAAATGCTGAAGAATTATGTGAAATTTGATTATCCTCAGTACATGGAATACAGTTCTCTTTGAAACTTGCCCACAACACAAACACACAGACATGTGCAGGCACATTAACGATGCTATACATATCCCCTCCCAGAGCTTTCAAAAAGATTATTCCTTAGTTATTCCTTAATAAATCACATTAATTTCTTGTGCAGTATCCAAGCTCAGAGATCTTGGTAGTTACAAATTCATTCAAAAATGGTCTCTACCATCATCAGCAATTAAATTTTAATCACAGCTTGGATTTCCACAGCAAGAAGTTCAACATTTTATTTTTATGAAAAACATAATGAATGAAATGTAGTATTTATGAAAAATTTTCATTTCATTCTCTATTATGATTAAATGGTTTATACATCTTTTTTTTTTCCTTGTACCTGTCTGCCTATCAAGAGCCTGTGATCCACTGAATTGGTTGATGGGGGGAGGGACCTTCAATCTCTGCATCAGCACTGCTTTCTGTCGCTGGAGACGAATGTATTTGGGCCATCTTACAAAGCGACTCAGATCACGTTTAGGCTGAATATCTTGACCTGTAAACAATTTATCCATTTATAAAGGACCCAATAGCTGGTCAACATAAAAACACAAACATAAAAATCTTTAACTGTAACAGAATTTGCCACTGATATAAAAGGAAAACTCTTTTTAAAGCCAACATTGAACAACCTTTTTTGCTTTATATGAAAGTTTTCACTAAATGAAAATGTATTTTAAGGACACAGCAATCTACAAGAGATCACCAAACATCTGATTAGCTGCTAAACAGGTTCTTATCAAACAAAAATCTTAAGAGCAAAAAGTGTAAACTTTTCCAATTCTATTTTCTACTCACCTATTCCAAAGTTTCGAGGTCTTTTTTCAAGCAGGGGGTTAGCTACTTTTTTGGGTTCCGCAGCTTTCTTAGCCACCAATGGGGCTGCTGCCACCTTCTTCTTCCCCTTTTTTTTAACAGGCTGCAGTACCAAAAAAAATATTTAAAGAAGACGTTTTTTTACATAAGGAAGGATCGAGTTTCACTTTGGTATTTGTAACCAGAGGTGAAGATAATGAACAGTAATCGTCATCAGTCTCACAAACATAGCTGCAGATCTGTAGCTCACTGGTCTGAACAAAATTGGGATGGACTACCAGAGAGCTACAGTGCCACCCATTGAAAAAAGTGTATATTTATTGCGCACAAAAAAGTGTGCTGTTTCTTGATTTATTTCACCATATATATCAAAATATTAATAACTGTGTTCTTAACATATTCTTTTACAACTTCCACAACAAAACTGAATGTAAAAGTCATGTACAAAGTGCGTTGGACCAAATTGTCTTGCCACCCAAGATGGCATTATAGGTTAGGTCTGTCACGGCTCCCAAAAACCGCAGTCCAAGTTGTTCGGTTTCATTTTTCGATTTTTGGTTCGGGTCAGATTTATATTTTAGAATCTATTTTATAGGAAAAATGGCGTCAAAAGTAAAAGAATGATGACGATAACAGCAATTAAAAAATATCTCAACTGAAATATACTTCATCCATGACAAAACACTTGTAATGAAAGGATGGAATAATTATCAAAACAGGCAAGAATGGTCATGTTGTAGCTAATAGTCAGCCTTATATTCTTAAACACAGATATAAAGACATTAACATGGTTAAGACTAGTTTTCATGTTGAATTTAATGTAACATATTAAGATTTTTTAAGCTTAATTAATGAAATTAAGGTTTAAAATAGAAGTAAATAATTGAACTGAAAAACACAAAACCAAACTGAAAATTTACAGAACCGACCCGACAAATTCTGGACCTGTGACAGCCCTAGTATAGGTAGGCGAAATTTTCGATGGTCTCAATTTCAGGCTCAGGAGGGCTATTAACAACGGTTTGAGGAAATATTTTATTGTGGAAGAAGTGAAAAAATATATTAAGAACACACATTTTGTAATATTTTGAGATGGCAGTTTAAATATACGGAGAAATAAATCAAAAACAGTGCACTTTTTTTGTGGGCAATAAATATACACTTTTTTCAATGGGTGGCTCTATAGCTCTCTCGTCGTTTATCCTAATTTTTTTCAGACCAGCAAGCTACAGATCTGCATCTACTATAAACAATGCATATCAAGAAAGACAAAAATATGAACCCCCTGGAAATACCAGAGATGGGATCAGGTGCCAAATAAATATTCCCCATCGACTGGTCAAACAAGCTGTGAGCTCTACATTGGTCATAATAAAAGTAACTTTGCCAAGAAAGTAAAAATACACAGTTATAGAAAGCTTAAAGGACTTATCGCATGTTTCTAAATTTTCTGAAATTAAAAGCGTAAAACATTCATTATGACCACAGTTTATAAATTTTTTGTTTTTACTGCAGATAAACCGCGGTAATTAACCAATTATTGACTCAAGTGAAAACCCCTGAATTAAAAATCTAAGTTAATTAGATAGCGAACACGTGACACTGTGACGTCAAATGCAACAATGGCTGATCAGCTCTTCACGTAAATCTTACTAAAATATACGCGATACAACCTGAATTTTTATGCCTTATGGACGACCAAATAACTGATTTTATCGATATGAAATTTAATATCCAACCTTATATTTTAGAATTGTCAGCAAGAAATAATCTGAAGAATCTGTTAACAATGTTAAAATAGCTGCGACAATAGCAAGGGAGACGTGGCGAAGACGAAGAAACTCGCCATCACAGTACAATTTGATTTGTCATTTTATCACATGTATTAACTTATTTGATTCACAAATTTAATAGTACATAACTTTGTTATTCTTCGTTTTTAACATAATATTAATTTATGCAAGTACGCTTTCATATGTTTTGTAAAGGATGGCGGTCTTGAAAAATAATTTTCCGATCACGAAACATTGCCGTAATAAGACCTTACAGATTCTAAATGTTTGGAATAAAAAAAGAAAATATCTCAAAATCTTATACCTTAGAACTAGTTAATGTTTCTATAGTAATTGAAAATCATGTTAGGAATTAATTTTTTCAGCATTTTTTATAATTAAGCTGCATTTGTTGTTGATAACTTCGTAAATAGTGTGCAACTTCTCACCTCTCTATCACTGAATTGTTGCCTATGACGTCAGAACAGTATTTCGCCGAAATCCGACTGAAATATGCATATTGCCGTATTTGAATTTCAACTCTCAATATCTCTTAAAATATGCTTTCAACAACGTTTATTGTATCCGGAATTTTAATAAACAAGGTTGTAGATAATATTTTTCATAAAATTAAGATTTTTGAAAAATCATGTGATAAGTCCTTTAACCAACTATCAATTGATCCTCATGCTTGATCATCAAAATACTGTACTCCTTACAAGATTCAGAACAGAAATTAGTTTGGAGAAGGGGGGGGTGTTAAATACAATTTCTGTATCACAGTATTGCCCCGTCAACACATTTTTTTTACTCCCAAGAGTAGAAAAAAAGGCGTGTGGTACTTCCTTCAAGTATAATCAATTTCAATGTATTTATTGTTGTTTTTTCTAGATACAAGATAATGTGGAATGTTGCTTTTTCGTGATTTAAAACTGCCTTCATAGGTTTGTTGTCAAATTGTATCAGCCTTTTTATAACGAAAACAAGCCAAAGCTGAAGCATAACACGTGATTTCATACTTCAAACATTATTGGCAAAATGAAATATTTAACTAAATTCGACAGCAAATTACAGATTGTCAGAGATGACATTCGATTTATCTTGAACACAGTTTTTTCACGTCTTCCATACCATTCTTACTGACCCGGAAGAGACCGAATCTCGTTTTCACATTTGTAAGCAAGTTGAACCAAGATTTGCTTCTGTCAGAGAAATATTTAATTTATGACATGAAGCTTCAGTAAATTATTAAGCAAGAAATATACTTTATTTAGAGAAAATTAATAATTATTTTTCGTCGTTTTCTTCATTTTTCTTTTAAATAGACGAACTCACAATGCACGAGCTAACAAATTTTACTTTCGATTTTAACAAAGCCCAACAAGGCTTACAAGCTGTAAGTATTTTTCATTTTTTTCAATTTTACCCATTTATAGATTTGTTGTTATTTAATCCAGGTTTAAAATAATCAAAGTTCATAACGTATGACATAATAATTATTAAAGACTTATCATGAGCCGTGTCCGTTCCAATTTCCCCAGTAATTAATGATAAAACATCGGACATGAATTTCCCCTGTGCAACTGAGTTATGTTCATGATTGATTGATCCTAAGCTTTTTCTACGCACCTGGTATTATTTTCATATATAAAAAATCAGCATCTGATATGCTAGTCAGAATAATCTAACTGGGACAAACCCGCATCACAGTTTGAGTAATCTGAGATTCCTTCTGGCTCTAGCCCTTGCTTATATATTGTGACTAATGCGGGATAGAGAGCAGAGATCATAATGAAAAGCTAGAATTCAAGTACAAAAGCTGGCTTCTTGACTTTCCTTATCTATTGCAACTTTATTACGCAAATCCAACTTTGCAGAAGTGAGAATTTAGTAATTGGATGCGACAAAGTAATCATGAGTAATAAGACGCTAAGCAGCCCAATTCAGAGTTGGCGAAAGAGGTAAAAAATCTGTCGGACACAGTGTCCTACAGATTGTCAAAAAATCACAAAAACTACAGGATATAATAAAAATTTGCCAGACCAAATGGAGAAAACAACAAAATATGTAAAACTGAATTTTAATTAAGATGCATCAATCAATAACAATGCTTGAATGGACTTTACCATAAATTTCGTACATGGCACACAAAACATCATATGCGTATCGTCGTCATACCTTAGCCACTGTCTTTCATTAATCCACTGTGCATTAAAATTTTTACACTTTTTGTTAAGGTGGTATGGGATACCAAACGAAACTTCTCCTACATATTTATGTACCCAAATTAGAAGGATTTGAAATACCCCCACCTTTCAGTATATTAAAGTGTAATTTTAATAATTTTTTTATTATTTTAATGAGAAATACAAAAACGATTTTTTTCTTGCATAATTCTTTTTTCATAAGCTTAATATTATAGGCAGGCGTTTGCTAATATAAAGTGTTTATAAAAACAAAAATGACAAGAAATATGTCTTAGTATTTTTTTAATTTTCAACAAAAAATAAGCGTAAAAAACTGGGAAAACTTTATTTCTTGAAAACAGACGGATAACATTTCATGAAAGTCTACAATTAGAATGTATCTTAATATGTTAGCAAAGTGAAATAAACAAATTGAAAATATATATATAAATGGAAAATATAAAATGCATTTAAATTTTTTTGAATTAAAAGATCCGAGCGGAAGAGTTATCCTTCTTTATTTTCCAAGGGTTGAAAAAACCTGGGTGCTATTTTAGAAATGATGATCATTTTTTCCCAACCATAAAAAAATCGCACTTTGTAGTTTTCAACTTTGAGCGGTTTTGAAAACAATGCATAGACAATCGCTTTCCAGGACCTGTCTTGTTCAGAGCAATTGCATTCATCTGAACGTTTTGGGACTATATACAACAGCTAGCTGATTTGTGACCAAACAGTTACTTCTTGAATTAAATAACAAAAAAGTCCAGCTCTGGTTAACGTGATAATTGATTGGTGATAATTCAGCACAATGTGAAGTAATCGCACTTATCCATGCCTCACCGCACACAAGGTGCTGTACAGTTACTCAAACAATTGAAATACAGCTTTTGCTTAAAAGTGTTCAAAAGCAGCAATGTTGAAACTACCTTTTACAGGGGTTTGCTTTTTTAAATGTCCGTTGTACAATTATAAGTAAATTTATATACTTGCGATTTTTTTGTCTGTTTTTACTTAAAATGCCGACTTGTGAGAACTTGCATTGAAATAGGCTTCAGAGTGTTCTTTTCAACGGTGTATCTACAAATTTTGACCCGATAATAAGCACTCATGCAAATCAAAACAATACTTCAAACGGAAATACGTCATAACTTGGAGATATCCCATACTACCTTAAAAATTCTTTTCTTTTGAGCTATCAGTATCAGCTTTCGGCACCGACTTTCTTTTTACCGACTCTGTCCATTTAATTGGCCACAGCATAGCACATGTTTACTTGCCGCCTCGATATCGGATATAAATGAACGTTAGATAGAAACTAAAATTGAAAGTTCTGGTATCATATTATTTTGATTTCCCAAAATATTTAAATCGACTGAATACTTTTAATATTTTCAATATGATCATCTAAACAAGTTTTGAAAAATAATGCATTATTTCATTTCTTTAATTATTTTACTATTGATTATTCTGATGGTGTCCGACGTGGTTCTAAAATCTATCGGACTTAGATGAAATTTACCGGAGATCGCCGGCGGGCCGGTGCCTTTCGCCAACTCTGCCAATTTTGACAAAAGAAGCATATATCTTTGAGTTAGGTTGCCTCTTTTCCATTTATTTCTCTGTGCATGACCCTATCTCCACCGCATGTTACAATATAAAAGAGAGGTTTAATAGAGTTGTAACAATATTGGATACATCCAATTAAACTTGAAATGTAACAATACAGAGTTGATCCTCTCCTGCATGATTTTGGACAATATAAATGGAGCTGCACTAGAAATAACCAACAAATTAATTATAACAAAGTTTTTCAGCTTCTACCCAAAAAATAACACATAAAAACAAAACATATTTTCTTAACTTTTTTTGCTCCAAATTACACACCATGTTGACCTCTGGAACTCTCTGAATTGTTCGTAGTTCATGAATAGATTTATAGAATAAAAATATGCTATTGTTAAAATGTTATTGTTCCACAGACCCTGTTTAATAATTTAATTCCATGTGTTTGCAATGTAGGAAAATAAATATAGGCAGATACTGGGTAAGTCTTACCAACACATTTACTATAAAGACTAAAGAGAGTTCTGAGTGTCAAATTGGCAGACAAATATTAAATGAAAAATGTTGAGAAATTGAATTGAATTTTCAATTCCTCATACAATTGAACCTGGGTATCTCAAATAATATCTCAAATACCATGGATTTGAGTCTCCACCACTTATTCCTGAAGTATTTTACCCTGGATATCTCAAATCCTCAGATATTTAGAAGTATGTTCTTGGTCCCATTGAGTTTGAGATAACAAGATTTTACTGTAATTAATTTGGCACTTATTTCCAGTACAACTCTGAATGTATTTCCCAAAATTGTGTTGGATGGATCCTTAATTCGTATTCCTTAAGTATTTTAGCCTGTATATCTCTAATCCTTGGATATGTCGAAATATTTTTTTGGTCCCATTGAGTTCGAGATAACAAGGTTTGGCTGTACAGTTGAACCTTGGTATCTCAAACACTGATAACTTGAATTCCATGGATATGTTGAAGTGATTTGGAAGTTCCCACCACTTATTCCTTAAGTATTTTACCCTGGATATCTTGAATCGTCGGATATTTCAAAGTATTTTCTTGGTCCCATCGAGTTGAGATAATGAGGTTTGATTATAAATAATTTGGCACTTATTTTCATTACAACTCAGAGTATATTTTTTCCA